CGGCGTCCTGGAGAGCGTCAGGTACGGGGGGTGGGGGCGGCACCTCCTCTGCGCCCCCTCACCGGGGTGGCACGGTCCCTGCCGCAGCACCTGCCCGGGTCCCGTGCGTGGGGAGGAGGAGAAGCTCCTGGCTCCCCACGCTGCCTTTAGGGTCTTTGCTGCCCCAAATATCGGTGACGGCAGCAGTGCTGTGCTGGCACTGAGCCTCTCGGCTCCAAAAACTTGGGTGGCGGACGGCCTTACGCCCTGGGTTTGGGGCAGTTTGCCTGGCTTTTGGTGGCAATGCCTTATTTTTAGCACCTTTAACTAAAAATAGAACAGAAACGGAAGCACTCCTTTGGAACACTGAGATGTTTCCCTTTCAAGGGATGCCAGGACAAACTAATGTGACCCGAGCACGAACTCCCCTGCGCGTTTTCAGCTGAAACATTTGGATTCTATTTACAAATGGTTTCAATTCCTCAAAAGCAACATTTAGACAAACTTGCTCATTGAAAAAGGTCTTGTCTGATGCCAAGACACGGATTTCTCCTGAAGCAAGGAGCTGAAAGAGTCCCTGTGGAGCTTTGTTTCCTTCCCCGAGGTTGGCTCCACGCAGCCCATGGACGAGGTGGCCGTGGGCTGGGACACCAACCTCCAGAGCTGGGGAGGGGGGCTGGGCTGGAGTCCAGGGCACCCTGTTGGGTCCTGTGTTGGTGCCTGGTTAGGAGGGGTGATGGCACAGGGCGGTGTCTGTGGGTCAGTGACAGGGCTGTGTGGGCCAGTGGAGCTGAGCCAGGTGCCCCCTGCACCCCCTAGCTCTCAGCACAGTGAGGGCATGGGCAAGGGGACCAGCATGGGGGGGATTTGTGATGAGGGGCTGCAGAGGCATCCCAGGGCTCCCCTGGTAGCTCTGGAGAAGGAGGAGCCGGCTCAGGGCATTGCTCAGGCAGATGCTTTAGCCCGAAGTCAGGTTTTACAGAGGTTTGTGCCCAGGGAGGCTGGAGAGGAGCCTGGCTGGGGGTGGGAGCTCGCTGCCCAGGTGCCATCCCCACTGCACGGGTGGGTGCCCCAGCCCGGGTTTGTCTGCAGGCAGGTCCTGCTTCAGCTCCTGGGCTCCCACCCGTCCCGGGGCTGTTTGCAGGCAAACCCCTGTCCCATCAAGATTTTCTTCTAGCCTAAGCAACACAACTTCTTGCTCTCGTATGATAGGTCTTTAATTACAGCTGAAGAATAAGATGTAATTATAGTTCCTAGACACTCTGACTCATCGCCTTCACCAGCAATTATTATTAGGGCTGATTGGTTATGAAACTTGTTCATTAATGCGTGTCCCGTGGTAATCTGTTTAAATTAGCAGGTAGCTGAGCTTGTCTTGCATGTGATCTTCATGATGAATGACTTGGGTCCTGTAAGGAGGCGAGTGCCAGCTCCTGCCAGCCCTTCCCGGGGCCGTGGCGGGCAGCGGGGCAGGGAGACCTGCCTGCCCTTGGGTTTACACTGAGCAGGGGCAGACAAACCCTGCAAATCCCAGTTCTCCACTGCTGTGTGTGTGGCTGGGAGGTGGCCTCAGCCCTGCCCCGCAGCCGTGTCCCGTGTGCCCTGCCGGGCTGGGTGTGAGCCCTGTCAGCCCGGGGGAGTGACGGGGAGTGACGGTGACTTTCCTCCTGGAGTCCCTGCCCCTGGAGGAGCTGCTCTGGGGAGTGCTGGTGGCCGGGCTGTGCTGCTCCACAGCCCCCTGAACCTGCCTTGGGCAGGGCTCGGCTGCTCTGCACAGCCTGC